ATTGATGCTCTGTGTATTTCTAAACGAGTTAATGAGTGATTTTCTTCACAAAAGCTGAATACTTTTAAAATTATATTGAAATTATACTACATCTTACTCAAAATCAGGTTCTAAAAGAATAACAACATGCCATTCTGCCTTCTTAAAACTAATTTTGCCGCTTCAACTTCACTCTAAAGTACATACGAGGAGGAAAGAACTTCCTAGCTGATGAGCTATCCCGGTTACCCCAATACAAAAGTGAACGGGAGGAGGTTAACAAGGCAATTATCCCCAAACCACAAACTGCCGCTCAACTTACACCTCGCAGGGTCCCCAATCCTGATGACCCTGGAGTAAAGAAAATAAAACGAGAGCTCCTCACCGACCAATGGTTCAAAGATACTCACACCTCCCTAACGTGCATGGATGGCTTGGCTTAAAAAGGGGGGAAACTATATTTGCCGGAAGCCCTCCGTCTTAATGCTCTCAAACACAGCCATGATGAAAACCCCTGGGTTACTGCAACCCGTAGCAGACCCTTCTCAACCATGGGAAGAAATAGCTATGGACTTTATAGTAGACCTACCTGAAAGTAGTTGAAACACTGTCATCTGGACTGTAATAGACCTGTTCTCAAAGCAGGTTCATTTCATCGCCTGCAAAGGACTCCCATCTGCCCAATGACTGACCAAATTGTTCCTGAAACATATCTACCGGCTGCATGGCACCCCTAAGCGAATAATTTCAGACAGGGGAGTACAGTTCACAGCGAAGTTTTGGAGAAGTTTTCTTAAATTTATTGGGTCATCTCAAGGGTTATCCTCTGCTTTTCATCCAGCCACCAATGGGGCTGCAGAATCCGCTAACAAAATGGTGGAGCAATATCTTAGATGCTATGTTTCTTACCAGCAGACAAACTGGACTGACCTCCTCCCTTTTGCGGAGGTGGCGTACAATAATTCTGTGCACAGCAGCACTGGCTACATGCCTTTCAGAGTGGCCACAGGAAAAGAGTTCAGCCCAATAACTGAATACCCTCAGGTGCCCTCCGATTCCCAGACACTTGACCAATGGGTGAGAGGATGGGAAAAAGTTTGGAGAAACACAAAAACTGCTTTAACAAAGACTTTTGAAACCTATAAAAAACAGGCCGATAGAAAGAGAGCTCCCCAAAGAACATTCCAAGTTGGGGAAAAGGTTTATTTGTCAACCAAATTGCCCAGCAAGAAATTGGGACCAAAATTCTTGGGGCCTTTCCCCATAGTAAGGATCATCAACCCAGTCACTGTAGAACTAAAACTCCCTAGATGTTTAGGGAAAATTCACCCAGTTATCCATTGTAGCTTGTTGGAACCTTATTGGGGCTCCACTCTAAGACCTCCCCCGAAGAAGGCACCTGGGGCCCTCGTAGTTGCGGGAGAGACCCACTATGAAGTGAAACGTATTCTTGACTCTAGAGTTTTTAAAGGGAAATTGCAGTACCTAGTACAATGGAAGGGATACCCGTTGTCTGAAGCCACCTGGGTGAAATCCAGTGAGGTGAAAGCTGACAGGCTCGTCAAAAGGTTTCATATGAAATACCCAAACAAACTGAGAACTAGTCATTAACATATGCTTTGTCTACATTACAGGATCTGTCTTTTTTGTAAGGGGGGGCGGATGTCAACACAGCTAATATTGAATATTCTTGCTTTGACAATATATGCAGAACTGTCTGGTATTTTTAGAGTTAAATCAGGTGACAGCGAAAGGGGAGGAGAATATAAGGAAAGCCCGGGAAAAAGAAACGGAAGTGAATCTTTGCCCTCCAAGTTAATTGGAAGATGTGAATCATGACCCCAAAATAGGGGAGGGGAAATGCCTGGAATGTTATGTGCAAAGGAAGATCTTAGCAGTTCCACCATGCCGTGCTGACATCTCTGCAATACTAATAAAGGCTTTTTAGGCTAAAAAAATGCCTGAAAGTTCTTTGAAGTGTTTCGTTAATCAGACATATATCATAGATTAATCTGCCATTAATCTTGTGCAAATAATAAATAATAAAATAAGCTCCTGATGTAGATAGTAAGTTCATGAAAGTAGTTCATGAAGGAGCTTCTATAAAATTTGAATGAGGCTTTTTGACTGACAAGTATTTTAAACTACAGTTATTTGTATACCTTACTGCATATTTCATTGACTTATTTCAGAATAAATAAGCAATTTAAAGGTACCAGTGTCTTAAGCATTATATGGAAGATTGTTGTCCAATGGCAACGTAGAGGATTGTTTTTTTGGGGGGGAGGGGACTAATAACAATACTTACAAACACCTGCAAGTTATGAGGGATTTGTGGCATTAGATGCTGCATGGAATTCAATTTTATGTACTATTAGTGAGAAATTCTCATAGGACAGTTATATAAAGCAATCCTTTAAAACAGTACTTATATAAAGTACAGTAGTTATTATAAAGGGAATATCAGAGTCCTTTTGGACCATGTATGAAAAATTGTCCAATAGCAATGAACAATACATCAGTATAATGCTTTAATAAAAGTATTATGAAACATCTACAGGGCATGAGGGATTTGTAATATTACATCTTTCAAAGGCTCCGTGGAATTCAGTTGCATGACCATGAGAAATTCTCATAATTTTACAAACAAATATGTGAATACTGTTGATGGCAATATCCAAATTTTCCTTTTTTATTTTTGATTAATATAAACTACTGTATTCATAATCAGGGACTCTTCTTATTCGAAGTACGATATTTAGTAATTAAAGCATGTCCCATATCTGGAAATAATACAAAATATCACTTAGTAGTTGCCAAGAACTATTAACTTTTCTAAAAGATTTGCTTATGCAAAATGTATGATGAATCTTTTGTGCAGAAAGAGGGAGGTTGTTTGCAGAGCAAAATATAGCATGGGCAAAATATACAAATCTGCAGGGTTTTTTCCCCACTCCTTTATTTTTGCTGTGTTGGTTTTTCTAAAGAATATAATTAAGCCCTTAGAGCTTTGATAGTTCCATAACTACAGAACTTTTTTTCTTGTGAGTCTTAGAATTTTCAGGGTGTGAGCTATCATTTATTTGTAGAACAGATGTGAGTTCGACACCTTGTTTATTTGCCTGAAAATGACTTGGATAGAGATTTATTTCAGCCTACATCAAAGTTGACAAAGTCAGTTTTAATGTGCCCAATGTTGATGACAGTCCCCTTATTAGAGTTAATTTAATCAATTAACAGACAGTGAGCTGCTGCTTCTCTAATGACTGAGTGAAAAATTTATATTCTGCTCTTAATTTCTGTTTCCAAAGCTTATAAATAGAAATACACATTTGCATCTTATGGAGACAAGAAAGGCCTGCAGGAAAATTGAAAATATTATTTCAGGCTCTATTTTATGTGGCGATAGGCTTCCCTATGAAGCTTTCATGGAAGACCGGGATAAGCATATCTAAAGAATAGATGTAGTAGAAAAAGAGGGGAAGATTACAACATTTTGCTATACTTGCAGCAATGTTGTTGAAAAATAAGGAAAGAATCTGATTCCTGCTAATTTTCACTGGTGGAATGAGGAAAGAAACTCTTCTTTTCTTCTTTTTAGCACTCATTATTCTTTGACTAGCCTTGCAGATTAAGTTAAAAACCAGTTTGGTATTTAAAGCACAGGGCTAGAGACCCCTGGACAGTGTGAGTTTCAGCTTAAGTATGAAGCCAGCTGGATGTCCCTGGACTCTCTCCTAATCCTAAGAAGAAGGGAATGGCAAACCACTTTCAAAAGCTTGCCAAGACGTCTACACCAGGAATCAACACTGACTCAAAGGCACAAACACATAGACACAATGTTAGTCCATAGTTAATTTTTTACAATTTAGTTATCATGTTGAACCAAAACAAACGTAGCCACTATTGCCATTCATTATGCCAAGAACAGAAACTAAACACGTACTTAATCTACCCTGATATATTACTGATTGTAGGAATACAGATGGTACAGAATAGAATTTGAGAGTTAGTGATAAGGAGAAAAAAATAATAGCAAAAAGTAATAGCACTTTAATTTATATACTACCCCATAGTGCTTTACAGGCAGTTTACTCTCCAGCAGTTTACATACTGCCCCCAATAATCTGGCTCCTCATTTTACAGATCTTGGAAGGGTAGAAGGCTGAGTCGATCTTGAGCCGTGTCAGGATTGAACTTCAGGCTGTGGGCAGAGTTAGCGTGAATACTGCATTCTCACCACTGCGCCACTACTGTCAGTTGGTAAAACACTCCAGACATTATTGGATATGGCTATTTAGTTATTTGTACAAATAAAAAGAACACTTGAGAAAGGGTTAGCTAGTTGTGAAAGTACAAATCCTTACTTTAGAAAAGAGGCTCAATTCCATTTCCAGATTCGCTTAGAAACTTTTGACCAAATTAATCCTAATGCAGATTATGTCCGTTTAACCTAATCTCAATCCCACACTGAGTAGAGAGTGGTGAATCAGTTTTTTCCTCCACAGTAAAGATCACATGGTAGTGGATAAACACAAAAATCTGGCATATATTACCAAGATTGAATGGGCTCTGATGGGCATGTAATTTTGGTTTTCCATGACACTTTCCTGTCAGCTCAAGGTAACATTTCATGTTAGTAACAAAAAAAAACCTGACCTATATTAACTGGTCTGTAACTTTGAAGTGTGGTGAAATTCTGTTCGATCTTTTAATGTATGCATGTCCATTAATTTTAAAATATTTTCAAGTCTACTTATAATATCAGCATTTAGTGAGAGAAATTATATAAAACAGGTCTTTGTATGTGTAGAGTATAGATTTTGCTCTTGGAAGAATCTTAATTCTATGCTTATTTTAGTAGAAAAAAATTGTTTTGAATTTTCTGGATTTCATCAGTTCTGTTTAAATGGCATATTTAGTATATAACAGTTGTTGGGTTTATAAATTAAGGTGCAACACCTGCTTTAATGTTTTCTATTTTGTTAACTCTCCCTGTTTTATTTTTTAAATCTTAATAGACAACTGGTTTTCAAGAAGACCACGAAGCGATCTTGGTCAGAACTGATAAATCTGGAAGAGCATGGCCTGTTAATATTCCAGAAGAAACATTGGATCATGTAGGCAGAAGGCGGAAGAATCAAATGGTGGGTGTTTTTATACATACATACATACATACATACATACATACATACATACGTACGTACATACATACATACATACATACATACATACATTATTAATACATACATATATTAATAAAATAAGTAATATGTAGACTACGTCTTATTAGTTCACACCTCCTAAACCTGTCTTATGTGAGGTGGCATTAGAGCAATAGTGACCTTGAAGTCCATGTACCATAAAAAGCAAATTCTTAGCTATTTCATTTGTCTCTTTTATTATGACCTCTGTGGAATAGTAGAGTTCACACCAGCTCATCAATAGGAATTAAGATTTCATCTGCTTTTTTCTAGGAACTTTCAAAACATTCCAATTTGAAAAGGATCAAGATTTGAAATGCCTGTTTCAAACTTGAAACATTTTCTTGAGCTGTTTTGGGAAGGAACAAGGTTTTTGAAATGGTTGGAATAGTCCCATTTTGAATAGAATAGAATGCTTTATATGTCCCTGTTTTTGTTTTCCCTTTGAAGGAATGATGATTTGTAAAAATGTTCTAAGAAAAAAAAGCCATCTTTAAGATGCTTTTCTATAATTTTGAACAGCCTTTTCAAGATGCCTATTTTGTTGCTCATACCAAAAAGAAAATTATATTACTCCATGCATTCTATCAATTTACATTTTCTTGAAACTGATTTTCTATACAGGAAGTCCTTAACTTATGATTGTAGTGGGACCAGAAAATTCATTATTAAACAGTGCGATAGTTAAGACATCATGGAACTACACCCAATTTTATGACTTTTCCCCCCATGGTTGTTAAGTGAATTACCATGATTATTAAGTGAGACATTTCCTGCTGGCTTCTCCATTGACTTTGCTTGTTGGAAAATGGCTTGGAAAGGTTGCAAATTGCAATTGTGTTATCACAGGATGCTGCAACTGTTGTAAAAGTGGTCCAGTTACCAAGTGGCTAAATCATGATCATATGACTGTGAGAGTGTTGTAATAGTCATAACTTTGAGGATGGGTTATAAGTCAATTTTTTCAGCACCATCAAAAGTTCTGACCTGAATGATCATAAGTCAAAGACTACTTGTAATTTCAGATGTTGGTTGTGGTAGCATGATTCATAACATTTTTCATGGGTTTGTTTTAAAATAAGTTGGCAATCATATCAACAATCTTGATTTTTTTTGGTACTGTTTATTAGATACGTACTCATGTGGATAAGGAAAGAGTCCGATATTTTCAAGATGATGATAATTTGGACCTGAAGGATTTGATCAGGAATGAAAAAATGAGTACATCAGAGGATCAAAATAAGCTTTTCATGAGAATGGCATCAAAGGTAAGACTTGACAGTCCGAATTCTTACTAAAAATTAAAAGGACATTTTCAATATTTTATTTTTTTTAAGTATAATTATTTCATATATTCTAACATGTTTTTAGACTTATGTTAGAATTTAATTTTGAGGAAATTAGCTTAGTAGTGTAATATTTTAGATACAGGGCTTTCATTTAATAGATTCTGTAAGAAAATTTCATTTTTAAGAGCAAGCATATCAATTGCTTCTGTTCCATTGTGGTATTTATATTCCTTATGCCCATACTTTTAATTTTCAATAGATTTATAATAGATTCCTAAAATTTCAATGCTAAGCTAGGCTCAGAAAAAAAAGTTTTCAGTTTGTTACGGTACTAAACTCAATAGCATTGTTAAATCACAACCCTGTTGCTATAAAATTAGGATTGTTAATACTGATTTACAGATTACAGACAGATAAATGACACCTATTTGCATAAATCTCAGCAGTTGTATGGTTTGTCAAAATGATGAAATATGCATTGTGATGTCATAATACAAGATCCACCTCTTATGTTGCAACATACCAACATAAATACAAAGGAGATGTGTTCTAGCACTTCTTTTTCCTTTATCTATCCTTGCCTTTGTGGACTTACACTTTCTTCTTTTTTATTTCCTGCTTTGAGCTTTGTTATTGTTGGAACATCTGTAATGGTTCTTTTATGAGTTCTAATGATTTGTTGAAAAATCAATATAAGTGTTCCAATTAGGTGTTTCTTTTTGGTTATTCCAACCTAGTTTCTCAAGTGTAATTTACAACTAGATATGTCAACTGGGGCTCTCATGGCTTGTCTTGCCTGTTTAAATGATAACCAACAGAAAAGCATTGAAGCCACGTCTCAAGGTTTGAAAAGCACAACAGGGGGAACTTTTTTGTGTCTTAAACTCGCAGCTTAAATGTTCTCTAATAGTTTATGTGTGCACACTATAATGTTGGTTTAATTTATAAGTATACTGTTCTATTTCTGAAGACTTTAAGTAAACTTCAGAAAAGATTAAAGATACTGAACAACGATACTGTGATACTGACCATTGGTCTCTTGGTCTAGCAGCAGTACATTTTGGTTGGTGGAACATGACGTTTCTCCCTCCTTTGACACCATCCACTGAGTAAATGCTCTCCCACACTAGTCTGCACCTTTCTTCAGCACACCTGTCTGAACTGTTCACTGCTCCACTTCAGCAGTCTTCTGGCTCCCCTTGAACTAGCACTCCTAATGAAGATCAGAACTGCAGAGCCCATTTCACATCTCCAGACAACTTGCTCTTTAATAAAAATAATATTTTTTTTCAATGCCCAATGTTGTCTGTTGAACAGCCACTCCACCTCTTCCTCCTAAGACAACCTGTGGGTCGGGACCCCATTTGGGGTCGAACGACCATTTCACGGGGGTCGCCAAACAACGCAGTCCGCCATTTTTTCCCCCTTTTCCTTAGCTGTGCTACTCCCTTTTATTCTATTGGCTTTTGAAAGCCAATAGAATAGACTCTCTTGAATAGAGTCTAATTCTATTGGCTTTCAAAAGCCAATAGGAATTGTCCAGGCTGTCTCTGCCCTGCTGAGCCCGCCAAAAGTCCCATTCTGCAAACGGTGCTGCACCAGTTGAGTAGTCCTCGACTTACGACCGGTTGAGTAGTCCTCGACTTACGACCGGTTGGGGGATCGCGGCATTAAAAAGGTTGAGAACCACTGTTCTAAGATATACTTTCTCTTCCCAATATTCCTCCTAGTTTTAAAGATTCCATCATCCTTTTCTAACACCTTTCTCCTTCCCATGAGACAATCTTCTTATGGGAAACTAAACCAAACTGCTATTCACTAATTCTGTTAGCCACTTGCTAGAATATAGTGTGTATTTAGATATTTGGGCTGCCTTTGTGTTGCTGACAGATTCACACAGAGGCAAGGCCTCCTGTTACCTGTCATAGTGTGATTTTTTTTTTTTTTAGAGTCTTGTGCTGTTTCATTTGCTGTTCTGCCAAAAGCAAAGCAAATGAAAATTGAATTCCTGTTTCTTCAAGGTTTGCAGTTATAAATAAATGGTCTGAGTTCCAAGGGGGATGGGTACCATTGAAGGTAATTTGGCCATATGTAGGCCACAGGTTTTTCATCTGACTTTAAAAGTACAATTTCATTTTTATGAAAGAGTGGTCTGAAAAGTAATTTTTCCACTGGTCCCAATTTTTTTTTACAATTTAGGAATGGATTAATTTTACATTTAGTTCAATATTTGAAAAAGGTTAAAAATTTTGAACCCTGTAAAAACCATTAAGCCTTCTTAATCCTTACAACATCTTAGAGAAAGATGATTAATCCAAAGAATTGGCTTCTTCTTTTGTATAAAGAATTGAATTTCTTAGAGTAGCCCCAATATTCTATACTGTATAATAGATTGACTTTCAGCATATGTCTGTGTGTGTGTATCTGTGCGCGCGCGCACACACACACACAAACAGAGATAGTTATATAGTTATATTTATATGATATATAACAATATATGAAATCTGTATTCATAGTTTAATTTTAAGGATTTTTGCTTCAATTTTTTTCCTCATTTTTATTAATGATGTGTACAGAATTGACTGATCAGGATGACTTCTTGTTTGATATCTTCATTTGAGGGAGAAATAAAAAATACCTTTGTTGATTAAAAAAGATAAAAAATTGTTAAAAGCCAGAAAATAATATTTTGCTTAGTTCAGGGGTAGGCAACCTTGGCGCTTTTATGACTTGTGGACTTCAATACCCAGAATTCCTGAACCAGCCCTGGCTTAGATAGTGAGAAAAGTGACTCTTCAAAAACGGATGTTAGAATAAAAATGGCAAAGGCACACAGGGAAAATAATCTTAAAATAATTAGTTCTAAATGATAAATGAAAAAATGAAGTGGGAATAACAAGCAAGATTGTTTGTTTAATTTTTTTCTCCTCGCCATCCTTTAGTAGGCTAGTGTCAATAGCCAAGGCCATTTTTCTGTTGGGAATCATGACAAATCTTTAAAATGCCAAATCTCCCCAAAGTTATCAATTGCTAATTATTTTAGTTTTTCTGCCTTCAGGAAATTTTACTTCTCTTTCCAGAAACTCTGTCACAGAACTATTTGAAAACCTTAGTTTGTAGGAGCCACTGGCCATATTTATTAGGAACTGTTAACCTTTCCAAGTGAATAGATTTTCTTTGCATAATGAATGTGAACATTGGAATGATGGACAACTTGTCCTTCGGAAGGTTTATCTGTAATTATTTAACAGCTTATTTAAAAAGAATAAAAGTAAAATATGATGATCACCATTAGCTAGTTTTCTGGGAGATTTTTATTCATTTCTGGCTTCCATTTCAGTTTTTTTAGTTTTTTGTGAAGGTGCATACTGGCTATTGCACATTATGTGATTTCAATTAATCCTCCTTTTTAAAAAGTAAATCACCGTTGGCTATAGCAGCGTTCCCCAACGTTTCCAGGGTGGCGGCCTTCTGGGGAGAGAGAGGGGGATGTTTTTGTGCGAGGGGCAGGTGCGCACATACACATGATCAGTTTCATTTGTGTGAGCAGCAGGTGCGCATGCCTGCTGCTCACATGAGTGAGACTGTGAGTGCCAGTGCCCAGCACACAGCCTGGTTCCTAGTGGGCCACAGCCTGGTAGTGGGCCATGGCCCAGGGTTTGGGGCTCCCTGGGCTATAGGTTTTCTTTTGGGAATATTTTCCAGTAGCAGTCTTAACTACATTTTGTATGGGAGTGCTATATTTCAGTACTGACAACTGAACTATTAGCCTTTCAAAAATAGTCTTTTCTAAGACATCTATAGCAAATCCTCCAAAATAATTGATTTTTTTCAATCTATTTCTTAGCAGTATGTCAGCATCTAAGCAGGAACAAAGACTTCTGAAAGAAATCAATAAACTTTAACCACATAATCTAATTTTTTGATTATTGGTTTCATTTCATTTCTGCAAAGATACTGATTTTATATATTTGTGTGATAAATTCATTTAATAATATTGAGGTTCATTTAAAAATACTGATGTCCCATGCAGAAAATTTATTCTGCTTCTATCGTGTGAGAGAAGTGAAATTAAATTGAAATAGTTTTTCTCGTATAAAAGAACTCCTATAGATTTTATTCTGTACAATGTAGTATCAACTGAGCTCTTTATAAATAATTTGGGAATATCTGTTTTCTTTCTATTGTTGGTAATTTGGATCCAGCAGTTTATAGATGATCATCATGCAAAATAATCTAATAATAATCTAAAAATAGCAACAGCACTTAGACTTATATACCATTTCACAGTGCTTTATGGCCCTCTCTAAGTGGTTTACAGAATCAGAATATTGCTCCCAACAATCTGGGTCCTCATTTTACCCACCCTGGAGGGATGGAAGGCTGAGTCAACCTTGAGCCCGTGAAAATTGAACTGCTGGCAGTCCGCAGAACTAGCGTGCAATACTGCATTCTAACCACTGCGCCACCATAGCTCTAATTAAATTAAATTAATTCTCTGACTTTGTTTCAAATTATTGATGGACATTATTCATTCAAATTCAGGTGCATACAGGTATGATAGGATTTAAACTAATAAAGAGATTTGAGTAATGAAATTAAGCAATATTTAATTAAGATAAATATTCTGTTTTATTAATGTGAATGAAATAACATTAAGTACATTTAAACTCCTTTTTTTGCTTTTACGGTCCATTTGTCTAAAATCTTTTGTTTCACATATGTCCTATTTTCTGTAATATATTTGGAATCTAACATTCTTGGAATACATATTCTGAGATTGGATGATGTCAGTGTTGCCATGGCAATTTAAAATCGTATTGATACAGTTTACACAATCTGTATACCTTTTTTGTTCTGGCAGTTTTTCACGGCAGCTGTAACTCTTGCATTCATGTGGAAGGAGCATCTTGAATTGGTATTGCATTAGTGTTATTACCAGAACAAATGTTAGTTCACCAGATGAATACAAGAAAGAA